ATAATTGTGCACACAGTGTATAATGAAAAATGTCCGTAGTCTCCATGACATCACCCATGGGTTTCTGAAGAGCCGTTGTAAAGCTCAGTGTGGTCGGTGCTGGTCGTCACGATCTTGGCATTCCTGACTCCGGGCTAATCCAAAAATGGGCAAATAGGTGGAATATCGTGGGTGGAGCTGAGGCGGGCTGGTTAATGAAAACAGCTGACTGTGACAGCATTCACCTGTCAGTCAAAGCAGATATGCCTTTAATTATGCATAACTTAATTAGCCTTGATATAATTTGAACAGGTGAGTTGTATAACCTCAGCTGTCATGAACAGAGAAATTAGCTATACAGACAAAAACTGTTTTTTATATCAGGCTGTAACAAGTTTATTTTTGCTGTAAAGTTGGGCATTTTAATAAGGCCCCCCTTATTGAGATTGACTCACTGCTGGAGCCAGCCTCAAGTGGCCGTTAGAAGAACTGCAGTTTTTGTTACTTCAGTGTTGGCTTCATTTGCAGCCACAGAGGTTACAGCTTGTATTTAACATGTCAAATGAATGTTCAACTGATTTTTGTGATTGCTTGTGTTTTTTGTTTTTTTAAGAAAATTTGTCTACCAATGATAAATATTTGGAATCAAAAAGGATTTTGTTTGTTTCCACCTCTAACAGAAAACATTCTGTGAGGCTTTTCCTAAACATACCTAATGTAGTCATTAGTCATTGAAAGAAGTTAAAGATCTCAAATATTAAATATTGTCTAAACATAAGCAGCCATATATGAGCTTTATCTAAATAAACTACAGTTAATTAGTAACTAAAAGTAAATAGACTGTAAAGTAAAATAGACTGTGAATTGAACTAGACATTCTTGGTACTTGACAACATCATTATGTTCTACACCAAAAGAGCACTGAGGTTTGATACTGGTGTTGGGTAGGTCTTTCCTGTAAGTAAAAACTGGTTAGCATGAGCAGTTTTAGCATCCATGCCTGAACAGACATAAAAGCTTGTCATCTGTCAGTCCAGACCACATTCTTAATAAATTGTTTTTGTTGCCAAACCATAATCATACCTGGACCATATTTTAAAAATGGTGGCATTGGACGTTAAAAATAAATTTGTCTGGTGATAGAGTTAAATCTGTCCATCCACCCATCTATACGTGTTAATGCCTAGTCTATAACAAGTGAGGGACAGGGTAAACCATAGACAGGTGACCACAAATCTCTGTGGGATGAATATTCGTGGATTACCTAGTTGTCCACACTATATTACTTCATCTCACACACTTCTTTCATTGCTCTGCATTTCCTTCCACCCTATGGTCTTTTCTCGTACCCATCTCATCATGTCTCCCTCCAACAGTGAGTCCAGTATCTGCCAGGTGAGGGCGACAGTCATGCTGTATGACAACACCAACAAGCGATGGGTGCCCGCAGGATCTGACACTCAGCCGTCCTTAAGCCGTGTCCAGATCTATCACAACCCCGCGGCCAACACCTTCAGAGTGGTGGGCCGCAAAGTGCAGGCCGACCAGCAGGTACTAGACACTCACCTTCATGTGCTCTGGTTGCTCTGGTTGTACACACATAGATCACAACCCAAAAGGGGGTCACAGACCTGAGTGGGTCTAAAAATAAAAATAAATGCTAGCTATCTGATGTCTGATTTTAATTATGACAAAAAAAAGCTTACACTTATGTCTGTCAAAGTGAAAACAGCCCGTTTTGTATATTTTTGTATTTTTCCTCCTTGAATGCAGGGATGAAAATATGTGTATATTATGTTAAAAGGTCATGGTGACATTGTATATGTGTTTACTAGCTCATTTGAAAATATACATTTGCTTGGTTCGAATTCTATAAAAGTCTGTTGCAACTTAATGACCATGGGAAAAAGTAGGTCCCAAGTTAAGAACTACTGGTCTTTGCAATACAGTGTGCCAGCAGGTCCGACCCTCTGTACTTTTAGACTTTACTTTACATTTTCGGTGCTACTTTTGAACAATACAGCATCATCACCATCTAGTGGATTTTAGTTGCATTGTATTCTGTTCAAATTACAACCTCCACAACCTGTATTACTTTTACAGTCTAATGCAAATATAAACTCACAAAGGATCATAACTTGGAGCCAACTCACATGTGACCTCTCTGCCTTTTGAATTGCATTAGTGTTCACCACTTTATAAGATATGACCACCAAAGCCTAATACAGTGATTATCTCATCCCATACATCCCATGTTTGTGCCAGGTGGTGATCAACTGTCCTATTATCAAAGGGATGAAGTACAATCAGGCCACACCAAACTTCCACCAGTGGCGGGATCCCAAGCAGGTGTGGGGGCTGAACTTTGGCAGTAAAGAGGATGCTGCTCTCTTTGCCAACTCCATGACGCATGCATTGGAGGCTCTCAGCGCACCAGCAGGCACAGGTAAACACTGTGATGCAGGATACGCATTAGGTCCAGGTCAGGCTGTGAAGTGTTTCTGTTACTCATGCTTGGATCTTTATATAGTGACAGTACCATAAACAAATCAAAGCTTGATTATGTCTGACTATTGATTGTTTATCTTTTTGAAATAATCCTGCTATGTTAGCTATATTGATCATTTGAAAATACATCCATCATCCAGCAATACGTCAAATATTGTGCTCAATTAAACAACTATTATCTCCAGTCATTGACAAATGCAGGTCACCTTAACCATCACTGTAAACTACAATCAGCACTTGTTCATATACAAACACCTAAAACACTGTCTGTGTGCTAATTTAGGCGGGTTTTTTCTGGACTACAATCCTGCTTGCATCTACTTTTAGTTTAAGCAGTCTGGATTCAGTGGAGCACACTTGCCAATTACAGCCAACAATCAACAATGTTTTTTCTCAGGTCCAGCTCACAATGAACCCTCTGCACAGGAGCTGGAAAACCAGAGAAGGTACTGTTCTTGATAAATGGCTGTAACTAATGTTCATATATATATATATAATACTTAATAATTATTATGAATTATCCATACTCCTGTGTTCAGACTAGAGCGTCAGAAGCAGGAACAGCAGGAGAGGGAACGCCTGGAGAGAGAGAGGCAGGCCTCCGCTACTCCACCTGCCCCTCCAGCTCCTCCTGCCCCACCAGGCGCCCCTCCAGCACCCCCACCACCTCCAGGCCCGCCACCTTCCTCAGGACCATGCCCACCTGCACCTCCACCACCTCCTCCTGCTGGGGGCCTTGTCCCACCTGCACCACCCCCACCCCCTGCTGGAGGGAGTGGACGTAGTGGAGGAGATGGAGGTGGAGGTGGAGGGGGGAGTGATCTGGCTGCAGCTCTGGCTGGAGCCAAACTGCGTAAAACAGTCAAGGTAAGGTGCAATATATATATATGCAATTAGCATGATGCATGTTTGCTCTACTGTATAACACAGGAACAGATGTAAAGATGGAGCTTTGCACAAATGATGTACAGTTTGGTGAACAAATTCATTTGAACAAAGTGACTGGAAGTGTTTATGTGTCCACAGGATGAAGACGCCCTCAAACCAGCACCCTCATCTGGTGGAGGTGGAGGTGGAGGTGGAGGAGGGAATCTAATGGGAGAAATGAGTGCTATCCTTGCTAGGAGGTAATTTATCACTGAAGAGACATATTAGACCTGATATTGATCTGATATTGTCTATAATACCACTATTTTAACAGGAGGAAAGCTGCTGATAACCCTGCTGCAAAAAAGGTAGAACCTCGCAATGTAAGTCTCCTCTCCGTCATGTCATGACATCCTCTCATTATTCTGTAATATTTGTAAAATGAGCAGTAAGATTTAAGATATGAGTGGATGATAACTTTGTAATGTCTATACATTACTACAGGAGGATTCCGACTCCTCAGTATCAAAAGTCTCAGGACCAGGAGGTGAGTAATGCCACTTTCACCGTAAATGTAACTTTTGTTAAAACATTGTTTTTTAATTTTATTTAATTGTTGCTTTGACTTTCACACATTCACAGTAGTACATGAGAAATCATATTCCTCTGGCTTGTTCAGGCACTCTTAACCGCATTTGTATCCACCTGTCCAGAATTAAAAGAACCAATCAGAGCCAGGAAATATAGTGGATTGCTTAGTCTCACTCCCATGGTGTCAAATACAGATGCTTTGGGACCCTATAAATGTAGGTACAGTCATGTGAAAAAATTAGGACACCCCATTAAATATTCAGTTATTCATTACTAGAAATGTTTCACATATCGATGTCTAAATCTTGTTTTTTTATCTCTGGAAAAGAAGTGATCTAATTGCAGGTAAACAGCAAAAAAAACATTGTTTTACTCATTAAACAAAAGACATCAACATAAATGCATATTCTAACTGAGGAAAAGTTAGGACACCCTACCCCCTAATACCTAGTGTTACCCACTTTGGCTGAAATAACTTCAGTGAGATGCTCTTGTACCCTCCTAGCCAGTCTCTGACATCGGTAGTGGGGAAAGTTTGCCCCACCCCAATGCAGGATGCTTTAACTTGTGTGATGTTTGAGGGGTTCTTGCATGACAACCTGTTTCAATGTCACCCCACAGCATCTCAATGGGATTAAGATCTGGCTTAACTGGCCATTCAGGACTCTCCATTTCTAGTTTTTCAGCAGTCCTTTGGTGTTACTGGTATGTTTAGGGTCATTGTCATGTTGCAGGGTCCAGTTCTGCTTCAGCTTTAATTTCTTACAGATGGTCTTCACATGTGCTCAAGCACCCTCCTGATACACTGTAGAATTAAGGATTCTATGTTGGTGAGCTGGCCAGGTCCTGCTGCAGCTAAGCATCCCCACAAACCATGCACTTCCACGCTCCATGCTTCACAGTGATATTAGGTTCTTTTCCTGGAACACATATTTGGTGTGGCGCAAAACATAAAATAAAACAAAATTCAATTTAGAACTCATCTGTCCAAAGAACATTATTCCAGAAGTCCTGTTCTTTGTCTACGTTCTCTCTGGCAAACTTCAGTCTGGCCTTAATGTTTCTCTTGGAGAGTAAAGGTTTCCTCCTTGCACTTCTCCCGTAAATTAAACTTGTACAGTCTCTTTCTGATTGTAGAGGCATGCAC